CACGGGCAGTATACCTTACTGATTATCACCAGACGAATGTTATTGCTGATTCTGGACATGAATGTCGTACTCAAGGTGGAAGCCTTTGCGTTACGGTGTTGCGATGCCGAGCTGCAGGCAGAGTGGATGACGAGATGAGTGGTCCGTCCGTGATGGCGGCCTTGGAGGGGTACCTTTTATAAACGGCATTGGGTGGCTGGAATATTGGTTACAAGCTTCGAGATGAGATTTCAACCCCCACCCCTCCGACGGCTGTAACGGTGCAGGTGATGGATTGCTATGCCTTCCAGGTTTGAGCTTGGCTACGCCCCAATATTCCGGCAGAATAAAGTGACAGGCAATATATAACACATCAGTAAAGGCCGACTGCACCGCTGCAAACGCCCCCCACCCCCCGCCCCTCGCACTTCCTTAGACCTGGAGATCGGCCGGAATGTTCCACTGTCTCCTCGTCTTCCCTCCTCGATGTAACTTTTCTGATTGATTCATTTGGCGCCTCCAAGGTGCAGGGTTTTGGTGGCAAAAGAAGAAAACCAACTGGCTGACCAGGGTTCTTTTACACAAATTCTAATTTAGGTTTTTTTAAAAGTAAGCTGCTAGGGAAAGTGTCAGCGGCGGCTTGTGCGTCAGGAGAGGAGGGAGGCTGTTTTACATATATTTTGTTTTGCTGCATCCAAAGATTTGCGGTCATGAAAAGTGGCCTGCTTCCCCGTCTGTAAGTTAATAAATAATGGGAATTGTCGGGGTAATGTATGGGCCATGTGCTATAATGAGCGTACTCTCTCACAAGCTGCTATTCAACCTGCCACCGTCTCCCCCTAAGATTCCTCCCTTCCTTCCCTCCTTCTCCGGTCTCCCCCGTATCTGTTCCATCTGTTTCCCAGGATACTTTCCCACCTCGAACACGTGTATTCTATTAAATCCAGTGTATAAGGGGATTCTTGAGGGTTCCTACACAGAAAGAGAAAGGTTTAGAAGGCGAGTCCATCCCCAATTATGAAGAATTAAAAGTTTTATGATGTTATGCATGCTTGTGTGGGTCCGTGATTAGAGTTTGTGTGTTGGTGGGGAGGGCAGGGAGGGGGGGCTTCTGTGACAAGGCTGGCTGGGAGCACAGAGCTGAGGGTTAGTGCCAGACACGTCTCAAGAGAAACCGGGGCACATTTGCAATCACCCCGAGTTCAAAAGGGTAATTTATTCACAGTCTGTGGTTAAAGTGGGCCGCTCAGAAAGCCGGAGGGATTCTGCCGGGAAGCAGAGTAGTAGAGACACATTATTTTCATTTTCTCTCCCTTTCTTGTTTTTTTTTTTTTTTCCCTTCTCTGCATTTTCCCCTCATCGTCCTCTTCATCGCCCGTTGTTGTTCCTGAGAGCCCTGTGCGCCGCCTTTTAACACACGCCGGCGAGCATATTTCACTTTTACACTCATCCGCCTTGACGTCCCGCCGCTGATTGAATTTTGAGGCGCTGCGGCGTCTGCCATTATCATCCTCATCGTCCTGAGTGGTTTATCTCTGGCCACGGCTCGGTGTGACGCCAAGGCTGCGGGGGAGGAAAAGGAGGGCCAGGGCGGGGGAGAGGGAGGGAGGGGGGGGCTGGGTGTTTCGGGGACCGTTCATGCGTAACTATTTGCGCTGGGGAAGATAAGAGAGGATTGGCCTTAACCGCGCTGGCTGGAGATTGTGGTCGCGTGAACGGGGGGCGGCGAGGTCAAAAAGCAGCGTTCGCAGAAGCTGCCGCGGCCCGGCTCGGGTTCGCCCCTCATTTCGAGGTCCTTCCTCCCGCCTCCCGTCAGCACACGACGTGGCTGCGGCATTAACCCGCACCTGCCAGGATCAGTTAGGATCACCGGGGCGCCGCGGCTGCCCGGAGACCTCACACCGCCTCCCCGGGAATCAGCAGGGAATTATTCCACCACGTCGGTTTTACTGCGCCGTTATCGCAGAGAGCCACCGGCAGCCACTTAGAATGCTCTGCCTCCTGCGCTGGTGTGGTGGGGTTAATTTGAGGTCTGGAGAAATCTCTTCCTCCTGCTCCCTTCTGCTCCTCCTCCTCCTCCTCCAGTCGGTTCAACACTCGGCCGTGTGCAGTCATTGCCAGAGCGGGAAATTGTCTTTCCCCCCGGTGTGTCGCTGTAGCCAGGTTGTTATGTATGCTCCGCTGCAGAGGCAGCGGCGTTGACGTGAGGCTGAGCTGCTGCCACGGCGTCTTGATGTGAGGTGAAACCTTGGCGTCGCTCTCGTGTCCCTGGTGTACCACTATCAACCCGTACCTCCGCCCAACCTTTCCCTCCCGGGTTGTTTTTCCCCGTCTCCCTTTTATATCTTTTATCCCCCCTCGGTCTCTCCCTTCCGCCCCGTTGTTTCTGTATTCTCGTCTGTATTCTTTCCCTGGCGGTTGACGGGAGTGATTTTTGAAGGTGCATGCCGGCGGGGGAGCAGGGAACGCGGAGCTGTGCTAATTGAGCCTTCTTTGTGCCCGGTCACCGCGCTGTGCTGAGGCGGCGAGGCCCGGGAGTGAATCCAAGCTGCACTCAGAAGCCCCACCCGATCGATAACGCAGGAACTTAACAAAACAGAGACATGCCGAGTGCCCAGATCAGGGCCATTATTGTCTCTGGCGAGCCGCACTTCCACCGGGGGACTGATCAATGTGAGAATATGGATCCAGATAAACACCTCCCCTTTCTCGCCGCCGCGCCTCAACCTCTTAAAGTGTCACATTCTAGACCGGCGGAGGAGGGGGGCGAGCATGAGGCTTAAAGTGCCCTGTGCCCGATGAGGATCTGCGCCCCATATCCATAAGACTTAAGAATAATGCTCCACATACGCATGTGGATGCCCGTTGCGCTCTCCTGCCTTAAATGTGTAACATCCGGGACCGGGAGCTTTTCGATGGCCTCTTGTTAGCTCTCGACACGCCGGCGGTCACGAAAGACCTAACGCTTTGTTGGGTCTTTGGGGCGTTGCGTCTTTTTGTACCACCTTGCAGCCCCTTTTCCATGCATTTGGTTGTCGTTGTATTCTGCAAGCCATGTTAAAGGTAATTCAGCGGTCATGCATGCAGCCTCGCTTGAAGAAAGGGGTGTTGATTCCAATTCACGGCCATTTTGTGATGCTGATACTTCTACAATCAACAGAGGACGTCTATGTTCACACATAGGACCACAACAAACATTCAAACGTAGCAATAAACGTATTCCGCTCCATGTTTTTCTGGGGTTTGGCGGGATTAGAAAACTCTACAACGTGGCCGTCTTCAAATCCGCTGTTCCGTGCCACTCACCCATCCTTTTGGGTTGTCTCGCTATCTAAAATCATATGGAAATGTATTGAGAATTCCTCCCCAAAACAGGAAAACAGAATTAATAGCCCTACGCTGACATAGGGCAGGCGGCAGCTCATTGCAATTAAGCAAAAAAGACAACGTGAGATGTGCGTGCGAGCGCCTCGACCCTTCAAAACACGCCGCTGTTTCGTTTGGTTCGGGGCTTTAAATTGGTGATGATGGTATCCTGCTGTTCTGGGTCTCTCCATTATTCACTTGGAAGGATAATAGCAACTGCTTAATGTGGTGTGAAAAATGGTAAATGGTTGCTACGGTGCACACATCGGTTCCCGCACCTGTCTCCAAGCAGGGATTAGGAGGGACGTAGCGGAAATCATGTCGACTTCCTCTGCTGTTCTTTACCCAGAGATTGAGCTTTTACTAAACACAGGCACTGAATTTTAGCCACATTTAGTACGTCTTCTTTTGTTTAAATTGGAGATCTGGAATAACTAGAAGGCTATTTGTGAATATGTTAGTTGCACGGCCCCCTACATCTCCTAAAAGCTTCAAATCAAATGTAAAAAGTGTCGCGGCTCAAACGGCGTTCATTTATTACGCAGCACGCGTGCGGTGCATTTGCTAAGGCGGAGATTTTGATATAAGGCCACACACGCTACCAAAAACGGCGTTGGAGCGAGGCTGTGATCAGCAGATCTGTGGTATTCTGTTTCTCAGCGAAAAATGTCTGCATGCACTTTCTGCCAATCAACTAATTGAATAATCGCGTCGGTTTAACTGTGACGCACACATGAGACAGATCTCCTCACACCAGCTCACGCTGTATAACTCAGTGTTTATTGCAAATGCGTCAACCGACATCATATTGATGGCGTTGAGACGTAATATGGTCGTATATGGATCCCCCGAATGCCGATCTAGGACAATGCTGAACGATGGCCCGTCTGCACGCTGTCAGCGACGTCCACGTGTGGACGGTCGGCCGCCCTTTAAGGAGCCACAGATGACACTTTGTATTCCAATGTGAAATTGCCCTGCACTCAGACTAAAATGATTTTGGTTGTGATTATGCACTATCCCCCCCCCCCCCCTTGTCAACACTGCGGAAAAAAAAAGAAATAATAATAATCAAAAAATGTGCTAATTGGTCATGGGGATTGGTGGGGGACTTTTTGTATTTTATGTCTTTTGACTTCCAAATGAGTTTGGGAAAGGAGAGGCTGTCACTCTGCCACAGAGGTTTTGGGGGAGGCGGAGGAGGTGGAGAAATGGGTGGGGAGGGTGTGGGGGGGGGGGGGCTGCTGGCGCGGCCTCAAATTGAAATGATGCACTGTTCCCCCTCACTGCGGCTCGAGCTCGCAGTAATTAAATGCCTCATTGTTGCTTCTCGGGAATTTGTATTGAATATTTTACTCAGCGTAATGATTATTTGGGTGTGGGTGGGACGTGGATGTAATCACCTTGGCTGGCTCTTTGATGAAATACTTGGTACGGTGGGTGGGCTTTGAGTGCCCTTCTGTTTTTTTGTGTTTTTTTTTAACTATTCTTAATTCCTCTGCCGTTTCAAATGAGTGTTACCCTGGTTTACGATTCCAAACCGATTCATTATTGGCTTCCATCATTTTGCTTTTCCTTTCTGAATGTGCGTAAGCTTGGCGGGACCTTGAAATCTGGAAAATTAAATTGTGTCCTTCACGTTTTGTCTCCCGCAGAGGACGCCCGTCAGCAGCGGGGAAGCTTTTCGGTGGTTCTTTTAGAGTGGCGAGCCTCCGCATCCAGCCGCAGGAGGGAAGGTGGGACTCTTGACTCTCTGCACGGGAGCGCTCGATTGGTCGACAGGGCCCCAACGCGCCCCAACGCATTTTGGGAGGACGAGGAGAAGAAAAGTGGACGGACAAAAAGATAAACGAAAACATAATGGTGTGGTTTTAACTCTGTAATTTCCTTTTCTGTGTAATTATTGTACCTTTTGACAGTATCATAATGTATATTTTTGGTGTCTATAAATGTGTTTTCAGTGTTGTGGCTGTAGGTTTACAGCCAATCCTATGTAAAGGACTCAAACAGACAATCATACAATCATTCTGATTCCGTCAAACCCAAGAGGCCACATGGATTGATGACATAACAAACACAAAACACTCTGGAGCAATAATCTATTCTGTTGATTATTCCTCAACCTTTAACTTCTTTCGACTTGAATTATTTTGTCAAACCGAGTCATCTTCTAGTTGTGCGTTTTATTTCATCGGGAAACCATGTCTTGAATGCCACGCAATTGTTAAGGCCGTCCCTGGCGCCGCGGCCGCGTGTGTCTCGTCAAGGGTGGTGACGCAACGGACGGCAGCGGCGTTTCAGTGACGGACTAGTTGACATGTTTCCTCAGTCGAGTGGACTCGCTGCAGAACAGGGCACATTGTCCTGTGCGACGAGTTGCACGAACCAATTGGCCGTCATTTGATTTTATACAGCGTTTATGAGTCAGACTGCTGCCTGGAGGTCATATTCTCAAAGAACATTTTTTTTTTTTCTTTTAACAAAACCACACAGGCTATCACACTTAATTATTTTTCTTCTTTCATGAAAGGTTGTAACTGTTTAAAAGATAGAGAGTAATGCCAGTAAAAGAACTGTATGTTATGTTGAAAACATTCAAATTTAGAATGAATTCCAGTACACTATACATATTTGACCTATCAGATGTTGTTCTGGAGCTAAGAAATAGTCTGGACGTTTCACACATTCCAAAAGCTAAATGATTCAATAAGTTACTCATTGTCTTAAACCCTATTGTTGCATGTGTAAATGTGTTTTGGTTTCAAAGATTACTAAAAATTTGTATATTGTTGTCGTGATGCTTTTATGTGTTAAAATAAAAAAACAAAAAATGACTTCCGTAAAAGACATCTCGACAGTGAATGTTTGATAAGGCCGGATGACCAAAGAATGGAAAAACAAAAGGGAAAAATCAGCGATCAATTAAAATCACTTGATAGGGGGGAGGTGAAAAAAAAATGATTTTTTTTTCACCTTGTGCAAAGCATTAACAGAAATAACAACCAGGAGGAGACGGCGGAATGTAGCAGCATCGGTTACCTTCCCCAGTCACGCATCCCTTGAATACTAAAATGCTGCACGGAGAAGAGTGGTTCCCAGAGGCAGCAGACTTTAAAGGACTAGTGAAATCCCGTGTGGTTTCTCATGCCGGAATGCTCTTGGGTGGGGGTGGGGGTGAGGAGGGGGGGCTGAACCAAGACAGGCTTCGGATATAGCTCGAGCATCTGACCGATTGCCGGGTGTGTGGGTTTCCAGGGGAGGGAGGCGGTAGCAGGGAAGCGGAGGACACAGGCACACTTTGAGCGGCAGCCCAAGGTGGGGAGGGGCCTCGCTGCTGCTGCTGCTGCAAAGGAGAGGGAGCGCAGGAGGAAATCATGCGGGGCCCGACTCCTTCGACCCCCGAATGAGCACACGCCCCCGCCATCAATTAGGCGTGCCGACCGGTCACGGCCGGCCAGGGAGACGGCTTGAAGGGGCCCCGCGTCGACGGCGGCGTGGCGCCGCCTGAGGCGCCACCCCCCCCCCCCTCCCCCCTCCCTCGCTGGTCATCAGAGGTTGATAGCGTGCATCATCTGGTACTGTTACAACACTCCTCGGGAGGGTTAAATTCTCTTGGAGACAGGCGGCCCCCCCCCCCCCACTCCCTCCCCACCTCCCCCCTCTGTGCTGTGGAGCTGGGATTTAACGTCCTCAGGCCCCAGTGGTAATGTTCAGTTTGCAGCTTCAGACAGGCGGAGATAGAGGCTGAGGACGTAGCAGGAATACGTTAGTGAATTAGCGGGCTGGTGGGAATGTGCTGCCAGTCCCGTGTCCTTACGGGTCTGCAGGTTAAAGCTAATGTGACCGGGACGATGACTAACACGCACAAGTGAGAAGAAAAATCACACAGAGGGGAGCCTATTGCGCACCCATTCTCTCCCGAAACAATTTTACACTCTGGGTTGACACCAAATGTTTTAGCAACCACGGCGGAAATGAGCACTATTGGTGCATTTAACGCTTCCTGGAAAAATAACGAGTTGGTACAGAGGTGAGGAACCGAAATAAACACAATTTGCTGTGACTTAATAGCAATAAATTAATGAAAGGGACGTTGAAATAACTGCATAATAATGCATATGTAACACCATGCCTAAAATGCTGGTTTTCTGAATGGAGTCTGGACCAATGGGTCAAGGCGGTGTTGATATCGCAGCCGCTCCAACATCCCTCAAAATAACGGCCTCAGAAATACCGCGGCGACGTTATTGTTTGTACCAAATAATTAATTATTGTACCAATCAGATACACATTAATGGAGCACTGGTGGACCTCTGAGGGCGGCACAAGGTTTTCCTCCATTTCTGAATGAGAATCGACTCCATGCCGACAGTGTTTTTAGTCGTGCGAATTTCAACCTTGAGTGAATATAAGCGAACATGTAAAATAAGTAAGCTTCTTCATAGGATAAAGAGGTGAAGTTGTGGTGATTGAGATAAGACCGGAATAAAAATAAAAAAAAACTTCTGATGAAATTGAGAAGATAGCGTCCGAGGTGGAAGGCAGAAGAGGAACGCTGCTCCCAAATGTTTTCACTGGACTGACAATGATTAAAAACATGCGACTGGGCTGCGACGAGGTGAATATTGCGTCGTCTGAGATACGGGCCGCGGCTCCGGGGAAAATATTTGATATTAAAGTTGATGTGAAAAAAGGAATAACAGGACAACAGACGAGGTGAGGAAACGGGTGGAGGACAAGAACCCTCTGAGCTGTCGAGATGAGAGATTATCCCAATCGTGAACAAACATCGGTAGACTTTTCACCCAGACGAAACATGTGTCAAATTTTGTATCAGGGCTTTTCTGGGTAGCTTGAAGCTTCATCGGTAACCTTGACATTACGACTCTAAATCAACATCTGAAGGCTGCGGAAGTATCGTTTTTTCTTGGTCACGTGTTCAAACTATGTTTTCATGGGTCAATAATCAACCTACAGCTTATAGAAAACGGATTCTATAGTCATTTAAACACCTTCAATATTTGAGTACAATAACTAACTTAACTTTGGATCGCCACAGTTTCCCAATAGACCATTCCGATGGTCGCACTTGGCCCCGCCCACCTTCGAATAGCCCGGAAAGGAAAAACAAACACCGAGCAAAGTACCACTTTAGGAGTTTAAGGAAATCTACATTAAAAAAGACAACCATGGTGTGCCGTCGGTCTCTTCACACTCTATTGATCTCCGGCTGCCGACATAAAGCACGGGTTCTGTTTCTTTTCGTTACTTGTTGTACTGTACAGTACTGCAAAAGTATAAATAAAGACCGCTGTCTACTATACAAGACAGCACGTACGAGCTAAACACAACAAGCACCTTTCCCACAATGCTGGATAATAAGAGGTTCTTTTCATTTACCTGATTTATTAATATTCCTGCTTCAGCGCCGCTCTCTTGGGACGCTTTAAAGCGAAAACCGGAGCCACGTGGATTCTTACAATCTTCTGGTAAATATATAAAACAAAAAACATGTCTTGTTGAGCGCTAATAGTGAGCAATGGCTTAATTAACCATGTTAGGGAAGTATTATTTGACAAATAATATTGTACCAGTTTTGAATAAATGATGAAGTACAACTTTTTAGCTGTGAACTCAATTTGAACCCGACTGGATTCACACACACACACACACACACACACACACACAACGTGCACGAAACGTATGAAGTTTGCTGACGATGGCAGTAAGTCACCAACACGGACAAATATATCCGTGTTTTGGGTGATTAAATCACTCGATCGGCTGGAGAGCACGGAGCAGAAATGACACCGTTGACAAAGAAATCCTTGATTTGCGGCTTTGCGTCGCACAAACGCGCCTCTGGACTCCCATCTGAAAGGGCACTTGGTGGTCCTGTCCACACGTCGCAGTTATCTAAACTCCAGCAGGGAACCCTCGAGCCGTCCACGGCATCCCGGCCTACGAAACGGGGAGGGGCTCAACGCCGGCGCTGAAAACGGGACGCCGCGAGGAGATGTGAGATGTGACGCCGAGGGACGGTTGAGCCGCGAAAGCAAAATGTCCTCGAAGGGACCGACCGGTTTGTCGCATCTTTTTTGCTTCCACGAGACTCATTTCAACAACTCCTCTCTGCGCTCTTTTGATAGACTGATTCGTTGAATATTGAGGAGGTCTTTATTTCTCTTATCCACAATATGCACGTAACGCCTTCCCTCACAGAGGACGGAGAAGGAGACGGTGGAAGAGAGAGAGACACGGCAACACCCCCCTCCCCCTCCCCTCCCAACCCCATCCTCCATGCCTTGTCTTTCATTATTTATTTACGGCCTGCAGTTTTTTCCATCGCACGCATATTGATGCGGAGAAGGCCGGGTGTGAGTGCGTGTCAGAACCATTTCCTGACGAGGGAGACAAGGTGGAAGTAATCAGCAGAGCGCTGATGCAATATGACAGCCCCTAGAACCGCTGGTACGCGGTAAGAGCAGGAGGGAGAAGAAAAAACATCTCCCCACTGGAGGAGGCGGCAAAGTCTGCCGGAGCAACATTTGGGAGTGACGGGGGGGGGGGGTAGATTTAGAAAGTTCTAAAAGTTTGAGGGAAGAAAATTGGATTGTAGGGCTGTTGTTTTTTTTGTTGTCTCGGCTCATCTATGAAATTTTCTTCTTACGTGTGAATAAGAAGAATTCGTAGCCAGTCAGCGCATTATACAGTGTTTTTATTTTTCTATTTCTCAAACATCTCCATAAGGCCACTCAGCAAGCTGCATTGGCTTGTTTGGCAAATGTTTAGTGCTCCCAAGGCGGTCCCCGGTGTTTGTGTTTGACCCTCAGGGGGAATCAAAGTCATTTGGAAGTGGATGTAGTGAGTGAGGGCCGGCCTCTAGAATTGGGGCCAACGTCCAGAGTTTCTGAGATGCAGAAATCCCCCCCCCCATAGGCGTCAATGATAAAAGCAGACGTTCCTTAAAGAATCCAATCAAACCTCCAGTCTGTTGGCTGGTGCAGAATGGAGAGGAGTATACGCAGACTCACAGGGTTTGCACATACGCCAGCGAGGCGCGTGCTGAGATGAACTCCCCCTCCCCCTCCCAGGCAGGTGTAGATTGATTAGTTATCCCGCAGCCATCATCGAGCGCAGTGAGACAGCCGAGCACGACTTCTCCCCATGTAACGCACCTGCACGCATCTCCACCACACACCTGTACATCTCCATCCCATGCGTTTATATATCTCTGTGCCCACCATCACCTTCCCCAGTCACTCACATTTGTAGACACACACACACACTGTATAGTACAGCGTATATAGGTACACACACACACACAACATCTGCTGACAATGACAGGCTGAACCTTCCCGGGTGTGGTAATTGATGGAACGACGAAGACGGCGCATTTAGGGTCTCCCTGCCACTCCTCTTCCTCCGTCGACCCGAGAGAGCAAATGGGTAAACGCTGTGCTGAAACGCACACACACACACACACACACACACACGCTCGCGCACACACACGCACTCTAGCGCATACAGAGTGGTGTAAGCACGCTGATTGATCGGGGCGGTGGGTTTCATGGCGGCTGGTAACATTTCTCCACATCATGTCGACGCCTCTGGCAGCAAGAGTCTCGGAGTGATCTCTGAGGAATTAGGTAATCAAAGTCAGCGGGCTGAAATCCGCCGCGGCGCCTATCATGCAACAGCCTAAACAGATTTAGAGTAAGTGAAAATGCCCATTTTTCTTGTGAAGATTACGTATGTGGAATATAAATGATAAACTCATTGTGAATGGCCATTTCTATCAAAAATAATAAGGGCACTTTATTGATAATAAATGTTTTGAAAGCG